ATGGAGGCCTTCAGGAGGCGACTAGGTATTGATTTGCAGGTCAGGAAGGACACGAGGATGTTGGAATGGAGGAAATGACGTGCTTAAGCAGTATTAGGACGCAGGCAAGGAGTGTCCTTGTTCTCCTTTTTTAATAGTACGTGTCGTTGTATTTCGTGGGAAACATGTGCGACGTCCTCGTCCCTCCATTGTCACAAAGGAAAAGGGCGCCATGGAGAATGCGGGCATCGATCCCGCTACCTCTCGCATGCTAAGCGCAGCGCTCTACCATTTGAGCTAATTCCCCCGTGGGACCAAAGTGACGTGCTGAGCAGGGATGTCTTTGTTTCTTTCGCTGGTACACGAGAATTGAAAAGTGCTTTTTGGATGGATGTTCCTTTCAGCTTTTGTAGGAAGCGCCCACTGCAAGGAATTGAAAGACAGGGGAGCCAAGTTGTAGTGAGAGCAGGAGTAATTTAATGCGGGTGGAATAGGTAGTCTCATGGAGATAGAGGGCGGTTTAAAACACTTTGGAAGAGGTAAAATGGCATTGTGTAGGAAGGCTTTGAGAAAATAGTTGTCTGGCTAAGTTAGAAAAGAGCGTGCTCCCGTCGGGAATCGAACCCCGGTCTCCGCGTGACAGGCGGGGATACTCACCACTATACTAACGAGGAGAAGAGATAGGAACAGATTCCGAACAGCGTGTGCTACTGCTAACGTTGACCCCATACACCTTTGGAGCAGCGCTCTTACTCTTGAAATATCAAGCCCAAGGACAGGCATTATTCTTTGTGCTGAGGGGCCGAAATAGCTCAGTTGGGAGAGCGTTAGACTGAAGATCTAAAGGTCCCTGGTTCAATCCCGGGTTTCGGCACGGACTTGCGCCTTTGTGTTAGCAGTCTAGGCTTGACCCTTTTGCTGAGCATAGCATGGGCTCAACCCCGACTGACCGCAGTCTCCACGTTCTCCTTCAAAATGACAACGCATGTGTCTGCTCTCATGGGAAAAGTCTGCTGTCTACTTCTCCACAGGGCCAGTGGGGCTCAGGGAGAGTCTTCTTCTACTCTTCAAATTCAGTGTGCAAGGGGAAAGCAGATCTGATTTGCACTGTCCTCCTTCTTCTTAATCTTTGCCTTTCTTTTGAAAACTGCACTTTCTTTCTCCAAGAGACAAGCAAAGGTTAGGTCGGCCATTTCAAAACGCTCTCCATAACAAACGCTAGACATCGCTCAACCATCAACGTCATGGGAGAAGGCATCAACAGCTTCCCTTTACAAAAACAGCTCCTTTACTTCTGTGTAACCAGAGAACACATTATAAATCATGAAGTTTGAAGTCTTGCAGTAGTGAGACAGCTGGTTACCTATCGTCAGTTTCTACATCCAGCATGAAATTGACAAACGTTAGCATGTTAGCCCTCTAGCATACAACACATAGTTGGTTTCTTTAGGACTATCCTATGCGTGTTAGCCAGTAAGCTACGTGATCCTACGATTTAATGGCCTTAGGGCCTTGGCCACCAACTTGGTAGGTTGTTGTTGTAAGTTTCGCCACCGTGATAATTGTTCTTTTTAATCGGTTCTTGATTAATCCCTTTCCTGTTCATGGTGGATTTTTTTTTTTTTTTTCAAACGTGAAATGTAGGGTTAATTTGACAAATTTCTTAGCAAAATGATTCATTCATGACGTTGCATCTTGTATAAGGAGCTGATTTGTAGCATTTCATGGCAGATGCAACATATTGCATGACCTCTACAATCAAGTGATAGTGAAACATCCTGCAGACGTGTGTGATTGTTGTGAAAATGGAGGCCTTCAGGAGGCGACTAGGTATTGATTTGCAGGTCAGGAAGGACACGAGGATGTTGGAATGGAGGAAATGACGTGCTTAAGCAGTATTAGGACGCAGGCAAGGAGTGTCCTTGTTCTCCTTTTTTAATAGTACGTGTCGTTGTATTTCGTGGGAAACATGTACGACGTCCTCGTCCCTCCATTGTCACAAAGGAAAAGGGCGCCATGGAGAATGCGGGCATCGATCCCGCTACCTCTCGCATGCTAAGCGAGCGCTCTACCATTTGAGCTAATTCCCCCGTGGGACCAAAGTGACGTGCTGAGCAGGGATGTCTTTGTTTCTTTCGCTGGTACACGAGAATTGAAAAGTGCTTTTTGGATGGATGTTCCTTTCAGCTTTTGTAGGAAGCGCCCACTGCAAGGAATTGAAAGACAGGGGAGCCAAGTTGTAGTGAGAGCAGGAGTAATTTAATGCGGGTGGAATAGGTAGTCTCATGGAGATAGAGGGCGGTTTAAAACACTTTGGAAGAGGTAAAATGGCATTGTGTAGGAAGGCTTTGAGAAAATAGTTGTCTGGCTAAGTTAGAAAAGAGCGTGCTCCCGTCGGGAATCGAACCCCGGTCTCCCGCGTGACAGGCGGGGATACTCACCACTATACTAACGAGGAGAAGAGATAGGAACAGATTCCGAACAGCGTGTGCTACTGCTAACGTTGACCCCATACACCTTTGGAGCAGCGCTCTTACTCTTGAAATATCAAGCCCAAGGACAGGCATTATTCTTTGTGCTGAGGGGCCGAAATAGCTCAGTTGGGAGAGCGTTAGACTGAAGATCTAAAGGTCCCTGGTTCAATCCCGGGTTTCGGCACGGACTTGCGCCTTTGTGTTAGCAGTCTAGGCTTGACCCTTTTGCTGAGCATAGCATGGGCTCAACCCCGACTGACCGCAGTCTCCACGTTCTCCTTCAAAATGACAACGCATGTGTCTGCTCTCATGGGAAAAGTCTGCTGTCTACTTCTCCACAGGGCCAGTGGGGCTCAGGGAGAGTCTTCTTCTACTCTTCAAATTCAGTGTGCAAGGGGAAAGCAGATCTGATTTGCACTGTCCTCCTTCTTCTTAATCTTTGCCTTTCTTTTGAAAACTGCACTTTCTTTCTCCAAGAGACAAGCAAAGGTTAGGTCGGCCATTTCAAAACGCTCTCCATAACAAACGCTAGACATCGCTCAACCATCAACGTCATGGGAGAAGGCATCAACAGCTTCCCTTTACAAAAACAGCTCCTTTACTTCTGTGTAACCAGAGAACACATTATAAATCATGAAGTTTGAAGTCTTGCAGTAGTGAGACAGCTGGTTACCTATCGTCAGTTTCTACATCCAGCATGAAATTGACAAACGTTAGCATGTTAGCCCTCTAGCATACAACACATAGTTGGTTTCTTTAGGACTATCCTATGCGTGTTAGCCAGTAAGCTACGTGATCCTACGATTTAATGGCCTTAGCACTGGCCACCAACTTGGTAGGTTGTTGTTGTAAGTTTCGCCACCGTGATAATTGTTCTTTTTAATCGGTTCTTGATTAATCCCTTTCCTGTTCATGGTGGATTTTTGTTTTTTTTTTTCAAACGTGAAATGTAGGGTTAATTTGACAAATTTCTTAGCAAAATGATTCATTCATGACGTTGCATCTTGTATAAGGAGCTGATTTGTAGCATTTCATGGCAGATGCAACATATTGCATGACCTCTACAATCAAGTGATAGTGAAACATCCTGCAGACGTGTGTGATTGTTGTGAAAATGGAGGCCTTCAGGAGGCGACTAGGTATTGATTTGCAGGTCAGGAAGGACACGAGGATGTTGGAATGGAGGAAATGACGTGCTTAAGCAGTATTAGGACGCAGGCAAGGAGTGTCCTTGTTCTCCTTTTTTAATAGTACGTGTCGTTGTATTTCGTGGGAAACATGTACGACGTCCTCGTCCCTCCATTGTCACAAAGGAAAAGGGCGCCATGGAGAATGCGGGCATCGATCCCGCTACCTCTCGCATGCTAAGCGAGCGCTCTACCATTTGAGCTAATTCCCCCGTGGGACCAAAGTGACGTGCTGAGCAGGGATGTCTTTGTTTCTTTCGCTGGTACACGAGAATTGAAAAGTGCTTTTTGGATGGATGTTCCTTTCAGCTTTTGTAGGAAGCGCCCACTGCAAGGAATTGAAAGACAGGGAGCCAAGTTGTAGTGAGAGCAGGAGTAATTTAATGCGGGTGGAATAGGTAGTCTCATGGAGATAGAGGGCGGTTTAAAACACTTTGGAAGAGGTAAAATGGCATTGTGTAGGAAGGCTTTGAGAAAATAGTTGTCTGGCTAAGTTAGAAAAGAGCGTGCTCCCCGTCGGGGAATCGAACCCCGGTCTCCCGCGTGACAGGCGGGGATACTCACCACTATACTAACGAGGAGAAGAGATAGGAACAGATTCCGAACAGCGTGTGCTACTGCTAACGTTGACCCCATACACCTTTGGAGCAGCGCTCTTACTCTTGAAATATCAAGCCCAAGGACAGGCATTATTCTTTGTGCTGAGGGGCCGAAATAGCTCAGTTGGGAGAGCGTTAGACTGAAGATCTAAAGGTCCCTGGTTCAATCCCGGGTTTCGGCACGGACTTGCGCCTTTGTGTTAGCAGTCTAGGCTTGACCCTTTTGCTGAGCATAGCATGGGCTCAACCCCCGACTGACCGCAGTCTCCACGTTCTCCTTCAAAATGACAACGCATGTGTCTGCTCTCATGGGAAAAGTCTGCTGTCTACTTCTCCACAGGGCCAGTGGGGCTCAGGGAGAGTCTTCTTCTACTCTTCAAATTCAGTGTGCAAGGGGAAAGCAGATCTGATTTGCACTGTCCTCCTTCTTCTTAATCTTTGCCTTTCTTTTGAAAACTGCACTTTCTTTCTCCAAGAGACAAGCAAAGGTTAGGTCGGCCATTTCAAAACGCTCTCCATAACAAACGCTAGACATCGCTCAACCATCAACGTCATGGGAGAAGGCATCAACAGCTTCCCTTTACAAAAACAGCTCCTTTACTTCTGTGTAACCAGAGAACACATTATAAATCATGAAGTTTGAAGTCTTGCAGTAGTGAGACAGCTGGTTACCTATCGTCAGTTTCTACATCCAGCATGAAATTGACAAACGTTAGCATGTTAGCCCTCTAGCATACAACACATAGTTGGTTTCTTTAGGACTATCCTATGCGTGTTAGCCAGTAAGCTACGTGATCCTACGATTTAATGGCCTTAGCACTGGCCACCAACTTGGTAGGTTGTTGTTGTAAGTTTCGCCACCGTGATAATTGTTCTTTTTAATCGGTTCTTGATTAATCCCTTTCCTGTTCATGGTGGATTTTTTTTTTTTTCAAACGTGAAATGTAGGGTTAATTTGACAAATTTCTTAGCAAAATGATTCATTCATGACGTTGCATCTTGTATAAGGAGCTGATTTGTAGCATTTCATGGCAGATGCAACATATT